CAATGGTCATAGTAGTTATCCCCTCGCACGCTGCTAAAGAAGCCAGTGGTCCGCCAATAGTCAGAATCTCGCAGCGCCTCATCGACGGCCTTGAGCAGCGCCACCTGCTCATCGAGCCGCCGAATCCGCATGCGCTCCTCATAATAGCTTGTCACCGTGAGCTTGGCCACGTCACGCCGCCGCTGCGACCGCTCGCGCTCCCTCTCCATTCGCTCCTTGGCGGCCTTGACTGCCTGCGGCCCTACCACGGGGAAGCCTTGTGTGGTGATGGTGGGTGGGGCGGGGAGGGATGGGAGGCAAAGCCACCCCCGGCATGCCTGCTTCAGGAACCATCTGGCTGGAGGTGGTGCCGGCAGCTCCAGCAGCGGCGCTCTGTGTAGTCGCCGAACCAATGCTCGCACTTGCCATCATCGCCGTGATCGCTCGCGCATCCCTCTTGCGCTCGGCGTCTTCGCTCTTGGTCCGCCTCGACATCTTGCGCCTGGTGTCGCGAGCAATACCATACATGCCCATGGCGAGCTCGTACGCCTGCTGGTCGCCACCTTCCGGCGGCGGCTTTGGCCTCTTGAGCCGTGGCGGGCCAGCGTGCACACGGTCGCTATGTGTCACGGCAGGTGTCGCTGCGGCCTTGCGCTGGCGCTTCAGGGAGGCAGATGGCTCCTTCTCCGCCGCCCGCAGCAGCCGTGCATGCTGCTGCTTTCGATCGCGCCACTGGTCCCGCCGGCTGCTCCCGCTGTCGCCGCTGTCGGGGGGGAGCCGGCGTTCGGTCCATTTGGCGAGCCAGCGATTCTGCTCGGCATGCCATTTTTTGTCGGTCTCGTAGTTGACTGAGTGGGGGGGCGGTCCCGCCTCCACGGCTGCTCGAATCTCGTCCGGGTTCAGCCGTCGCTTGGCCATTGGGCGGAGCTGGTGGTGCAAACGACCGAATCGGTGGGACGGTCGGAAACTGGTGGCGGTGGGACTTATAGGGTTAGACTAAAGAGTCTCAGCAGAGAGGGAGTTGTGAACCTGGTGTTTTCGTTTGTCGACGCTAAAAAAAATCGCTCACTGTGTTGACGCACGGTGTTGGTCACCCGCCGGTTGGTCAGGTCTCACGGTGTTGACGCCTGCCCGAACGCCCCTACCAGAGCACTGTTGCTGCCCCCCCTCTCCTCCATGCGTGCTGCAGTCGCGCCGCGTGCGCGCGCTCGCGCCGCGCCCGCGGCGCCGCACGCGGGCTAGCGCACTGCCGCACAGCCGAGCCGCCGCGCATGTGTCGATGTGCTCCGTCCCCCACCCAAAGCTCCGTCCGAGGCCGGCCCGCCCTGCGCACCGCAGGCTCACCGCGCGGAGAGGCCGCCGCTTAGCGCGGCCGGAGAAGCATGTCCAAGCGCAAACTCCCTGCCGCGCCAGAGGCGCCAGAGGCGGGGCGCGCGGCAGGCAAGCAGCGGCTGCAGCTGCCAGAGGAGGAGGATGTCAACGACGTGCTCCTCCACGAGATGCTCGGGGATGGGAGCGAGGCCGCGGACGCGGAGGTCGATCGGCTGAGCGGCGGCGTGGACTCGATTGAGGGGGGGATAGAGGGGCTCGACGCCGAGGACCTGCTCGCCAACCTCGAGGGGCAGCAGTCGGAGCGGGCGTCGGCAGAGATTCCCGAGCTGCCGCCGGGGGATGCGCCCTCGATCCCCGAGCTGCCCGTCGGCGATCTGCCGCCGGGGATCGACGCGACG